TTCTTTCTTTCTTTCTTTCTTTCTTTCTTTCTTTCTTTCTTTCTTTCCTTTCTTCCTTCCTCCCTTCCTTCCTGGATGACTCTGGGCCCTTTACACCTAAAAAGGTTTTCCTATCTGTTGATTGACCCCTCACCCTTACCCACTCACTCACCCATCCTTCCTTCTTTCCTTTTTTTCTTTTCTAGGTCAACCATCTCCAGCTTGGCCCCCTATTCTGCCTGCAATAGCAACTGTAAATGTCAAATGGATTCCTTCACTCCAGTTTGTGGGACCGACGGAATCACGTACTTATCTGCCTGTTTTGCTGGTTGCACCAACATGGTAATCCCGCATTTCCTCCCTTCTCCAATCTTTTTCAGCCAACTGTTCTCTCTTTCTGTGTGTGTGTGTGTGTGTGTGTGTGTGTGTGTGTGTGTGTGCTTATTTTCCTGTGGCCTTATCTGAAACTGCAGGATATACGGACTAATTTGGTACTTAATTGTCCCCATCCCGCCCCCACCCCCCAAAAAAGATCCTGTTAAAGTGATGCGGTGGGTATCTTAAGGCTCTGCAAGATTTAAGTCTCTTATTTTGCTTCTTAAACCACTCTCCTCCAAAATAAGAAAGGGTCTGAAATGTGTAATTTTGCCCATGATGGGGAAGCTTTGTGGCTCACAGCAAGCCTAATACGTTGCCCACCCTAGGTTACATTTGTGTTAGGTTTAAAATTTTATTTATTCATTTTATAAAGCACCTCAATCCCTGAAGCAACATTCAGTGGTCAGGTACATATTACTAAACAATTAAACGGAAGGGGAAAAATAAGAGTTGCTTGTTTCAAAGTGATCCTATAGAATTTCTTGTGTAGTTGATCATGCAATGGCTCTTCGCTGCCTCGTATAAAGAAGATATCTGGATTGTTACTATTCAAAATAATTCCAGAGTTGATGAAAAGTAATATAGAGAATGAATGAATGAATGAATGAATGAATGAATGAATGAATGAATGAATGAATGAATGTTGCCCGCACTTATACATGATGGTGATAATGCAAGCAATCAATACATTTTTGGTCAATTTTATTGAAATTATCATAGCATAAAGTACAAATTAAAGTAAAGATAATAGAGAAATGGGAAAGGATAAGGAAGAGAAAGAAATGTAGGATAAAGGAGGATAAAGGAGGAAAGAAAAAAAGCACTGACTTCCATTATTTTTCACCACAGTAAAATGCAGAATAAAATTATAGCCTTGACATTTTTACCTTTACATGCATAGTAATTACTAGTCATCTCTATAATGGTCAGCAAAACCCAATGTCAGGAGTTCCATTTTTTTTAAGTCTGCAAATACCCAATTCTGTGCTGAAAGTATTAGCTTCTGTGAATAAATTAACAGGTATAGGTATTAAAACTATATTTTGTGGTATTCTGCCTTTCTAATAACATTTTCCCAATGGATAACAACATATAAAATATTGAATATGGTTGTTAGTTTCCCTGATTGAGCATAAGTTAATACAGCATTTTAATGGATAATTTATTCTGATTCTGTTAGCTACGAGAGGAGCAAAGACTGCCGTATTCAATAATTCAAGTATGAAAATGGGGAAAATGTCAGAAGGGACTTTTCCTAGGCAAGGGGGGGAGACAGAAATATTTTCAGTCTTGTAAGATTATCTTGAAGGGATGCGGTGGCTCGGTGGCTAAGACGCTGAGCTTGTCGCTCAGAAAGGTCAGCAGTTCAGCGGTTCAAATCTCTAGCACCACATTATGGAGTGAGCTCCGGTTCCTTGTCCCAGTGGGTTGGACTAGAAGACCTCCAAGGTCCCTCCCAATTCTGTTATTCTGTTCTGTTATTCTGAATTTCATCTTGTTATATAATTCTAGTTATGCTACAGATTCAAGGCAGCCACTTACAAGCCCAGGTGTTCAGGATTTATTGAGCTGAGAAGGGTAGGACAATTGAATTATCCCTCCTACAAAGAATAGAATAGAATAGAATTCTTTTATTGGCCAAGTGTGATTGGACACACAAGGAATTTGTCTTGGTGCAAATGCTCTCAGTGTACGTAAAAGAAAAGATACATTCATCAAGGGTCAAGAATCATAAGGTACAACACTTAATAATAGTCATAGGGTACAATAAGCAATCAAATCATACTAGGAAACAGTCCATATAAATCGTAAGGATACAAGCGACAAAGTTACAGTCCTACATTCACAAGTGGGAGGGGTGGTAAGGAATGATGAGAAGATTAATAGTAATAGTAGCGCAGACTTTGTAATAGTTGGACAGTGTTGAGGGAATTATTTGTTTAGCAGAGTGATGGCATTCGGGAAAAAATCTGTCCTGGTGTCAAGTTGTTCTGGTGTGCAGTGCTCTGTAGCGTTGTTTTGAGGATAGGAGTTGAAACAATGTATGTCCAGGATGTGAGGGGTCTGTAGATATTTTCACAGCCCTCTTTTTGACTAGTGCAGTATACAGGTCCTCGATGGAAGGCAGGTGGGTAGAAATTGTTTTTTCTGCAGTCCTAATTATCCTCTGGAGTCTGTGTCTGTCCTGTTGGGTTGCAGAACCAAACCAGACAGCTATAGACGTGCAGATGACATGAGAAGTCCGACCACTTGGCTCATAGTGGACAGCTTTCCAATCTGTCTCTTTATTAAACTAACTAACCCATTTCAGTAAAGAGAAGTTCCCTGCGGATGGGCTCCAGCATAAGTCCGAAATCTTGGAAGACTAAACCTCTGGTCCCAGCGACCGAGCCAAATTGGATCCTGCAACGTGATCCTGGGATGCATATATTTGCCTTCATTCATCCTGAAACTTTTATCAGCTCATCAACTATGAACCAGGGTGGAAGATGCCATCCAGCTCTGATTCCTAGACAAATCAATTTAGCTTCCAAGATTGGAATAACGTTTGTCTTCTAGGTTGCAAACCACTTACTAATTTTGCAGTGAATTTCATTCTGTGGGCATCAGGGAAATACAGTTTCATTCTATGGGCACCACAGCAATGGGTTGATTGGGCTCTTTTGAGAAGCAATGGGGTGAACAGAGGCAGGCTTTTCCTGGGAAGCTAAACAGGACTTGATAAAGAAGGCAAAAGAGAATCTAAGGATTTCTGATAATTCAGGGTTGATATTATTTTTTTTTAACCAAAAAGCTAAGGAGATGTTACAAAAGTATACTGGTGAATGCTGTTTGTTAAATGTGAACTAAAAAAAATCAAATTATTTCTCCTACCCACGCAAGCATTTTATGGACTGGATAGCCTTCTTTTGTAGTGGAAGACCTGGGTTGCTTTGGCGACAGTCCGATCAGATATCAGTCTGTTTTGTTCTGACTCAATGTGAACTAATTCTCCCAAATTGGAAAGAAACAGAATCTGCCTTTTTTTTCCAATCCTTTCAAAATCAAAATAAAGACAGTTGCTCCTCCGCTCAACCTGGAGAGCCCAGGATCATGAATATCAGCAAAAGAGATTTCCTTTGTCTGAATTCCATCATGAGCCAGAAAGGGGGTGGCATCAAATGCCCCCATCTTCCACTACCCCCCCCCCGCTCCATCAGGCCTTAAGTGTTTGTAGTCCTGCTGGCAGCCATTTCTCGGGGGTGGGGGAAGGTCTGTATTTAGCCAGACAGCACAGCTAGCTGCCTACCTGTCACAATGAAGCGCACGCTAGGGGGGCTTGTTTCTGTAGATTTTCAATTACTGAATTTCTAACCGTCCAAGGCAAGCCGGTTCAAATGAGCACCTACGGGAAGAAGGAAAATCGTTCTCAACATCTTTTGGGAATAGTCGCTTTGATTGCAATGTGTCTTGAAAGGCAGCAGGAGGGGGAGAGGGAGGAGGGGGAGAAGAAGCTGGAGGAGGATGAGGAGGAGATGGATAAGGAGGAGATGGAGGAGGAGATGGAGAAGAGGAGAAGGAGAAGATGGAGGAGGAGGAGGAGGAGGAGGAGATGGAGGAGGAGGAGGAGGGAATGCAATTGGAATGCAATTGAATGCTTGCATTTAGAAATTATTTCCCCCTGGGAACCCAGAATCTTCCTTTTATCTCTTCCTTGCCCAGGATCTGAATTTATGGTAATTTTCTCCAAGTCCTGCTTACTTGAAAGTCTTGAAAGAATCAAAGGGAAAAGCACAACGCCGATAAAAGGTCAAATGTCTTCAAACTGTTTTACTCTCTCTGTCGGCAAAGGGGATCTTTTTTAATTTTTTTGCCTCTTGCCAAGATCTTTGTTTTGTAAGAAAAGGGCAACACTACTCTGGTAGACTGACCCACCTGTGTCAGTGGGATTCATGGTCACGCTGTGATTCTGCAGAAGTGTCTTATTTCTCTCCTCAAATCAGCCAAGGTCGACTCAATGTTGCCGTTCCTGAAGCTACAGTAATAGCCATTGGGGGCTTGTTGACGGGTGGGCAATGCCTACTGAAATCTGAGAAGCCAGAATAAAGTCAAAGGAGAAGGCAATCTCTGCTGCCTCCCACTGTGTCGATCTCAAGAGGTTCCTTAGTTCTTCAAGGAATGTTAGGAGATGAAATGCCAGAACGTTGGTGGGGTCCTTGGTACTCTCTGATCTTAGTTGTTCTCTTGAATATGTTTCATTACCCACGAAGGTTACATCATCAGGGCTAGAAGGCAGTGGGGTCTGCAGAGAGGAAGAGGACTATGGGGGGGTCCTTGGTGCTCTCTGATCTTAGTTATTCTCTTGCAGATGTTTCATTATCCAAACTAGGAAATGTCATCAGTGTTTGTCTAAGCAATGGTTGTCCAAGTGTAGTCTAGAAATCAGCAATTTAATCCATGTCCCTCAGTGGTGGGATGCAATTTTTTTTTACTACTGGTTCTGTGGGCATGGCATGGTGGGCGTGGCGGGGAAGGATACTGTAAAATCTCCAGTCAGGGATGGGATTTGCCAGTTCTCCAAACTACTCAAAATTTTCGCTACCGGTTCTCCAGAACTGGTCAGAACCAGCTGAATATACCACCTCTGATGTCCCTCAAAGAAGTTCTTAAGTCCACAATTAAACTTAAGTCAACAATTGAGCCCAAAACTTCCACTGTTAAGCAAGACAGTTGTTAAGTGAATTTTTGCCCCATTTTATGACTTTTGCTGCCACAGTTGTTAAGCAAAACGCTGCGGGCTGTTAAGCAAATCGGTCTTCCCCTGTTGACTTTGCTTGTCAAAAGTATAAAAGATAACTCAGCTAGAAGAATGGATAACCTTTAACAGACAGATAATCAGAGTTGAAAGGACCTTGTAGGTCATCTAGTCCAACCCTCCGCCCAAGCAGAAGACCCTACACCATTTCTGACAAATGGCAGTCCAATCTCTTCTTGAAGGTCTCAAGCTCCCACAACTTCCGAGGGCAACTTCTGTTCCATGGGTTGATTGTTCTCACTGTCAGAAAGTTTCTCCTTATTTCCAGGTTGAATCTCTCCTTGTTCAGTTTCCATCCATTTATTCCTTGTCTGGCCTTTGGGTGCTTTAGAAAATAGCTTGACCCCCTTCCTCTCTGTGGCAGCCCCTCAAATATTGGAACACCTTCAGGCATAAGAGACTGTTACATTTAGAAGGACATGATTTACAGCTGGAATGGCACGCCTTCTTATGGTACGAGAAGAATAAAATTCACAGATACTTTTAAAAATCACTATATAAGAAACTAACTATTATCTGTATGGGAAAAAAATAAAACCTAAGATTTATTCGAAGATCCCAGAATGGCTCTCAACGATGGAAGCCATTACATACCCAAATCTGATAAAGTTCAAAAAAAAAAAATGTGACATATAATGATGTTTTAGACACTGAAGGGAAATTGAAATCTAAGCAAGAGTTTAAAGACCAGGGCATTATCATGGTGGCCTCGACTGCAAATGAGATCTAGATACGATAAAGAAATGGAAAAAAATATGGCTTTTATAAAGGACAAACAGTCTTTGAAAATGGAGGGTGAACAAGTAAAAAATACAATGACACAGTGGGTAAAAAAAACTTTGGTTGTAATGTAGAAATAGAGAAATGCCAAGCATACAAATGTTGATCATGTGACCACAGAGGATGCTGCCAACATCGTAAGTGTGAGAATCGGTCATTTCTTTCAGTGCCGTTGTAACTTCGAACCATCACTAAATGAATGGACACCCTGTAGTCATTGTATAACTGGGTGCTGTTTTTTTAAAAAAACTATTATTTTATTAATTACATTTATTAGTGCTTAATGAACATCGTGTTGCCTGGGTATTTAGTTTGCTTAGCAATACATATTAGCTTCTTACTCTCCACCCCTTTTCCCCAACCATTAATAAAATAGATTCCATGTTTTATAATATTCCGTAACCTTTTTCTGTTTAATTCTTAATGTCAATCTGTCCATTTTTGCACACTCTAGTATTTAAATTATTTCTTCATCTCGTGGTGTTTTTCCGTTTTTCCAGGATTGCGCAAATACAATCCTCGCTGCGGTCGAAACATGCAATATTAAATACATACTTTTCTTATTTAGCTTATCTGGTATCGTACCAGTGGTGGGATTCAAATTTTTTTACTATCAGTTCTGTGGGCATGGCTTGGTGGGCGTGACAGGGGAAGAATACACCAAAATCCCCATTCCCTCCCCACCCCACTAACCTGCTTTCCAGCTCCCTTCTCCTGTGCAGGACAACCAAAGAAGACCCAGCCAATCAGCTGGGACTCAGGAGGCAGAGAATAGATGGGGGCAGGGCCAGTCAGAGGTGGTATTTGCCAGTTCTCCGAACTACTCCAAACTACTTCTCCACTACCAGTTCTCCAAGACTGGTCAGAACCTGCTGAATACCACCTCTGTATCATATCTAATAAAAAATAATTCAGGTTTAAAATCTACATGCTTTCCTATCATCATTTCCAGCCATTTGTGTATTTTTTTTTCCCCAATTGTTTTTCGCTTTACCACACATCCACCACATGTGACAGTATGTGCCCATTTTTTGATTGCATTTCCAACATTTGCTAGGCATGTTTTTAAACATTTTAGCTAACATGGCTGGCTGGGTGGTAAGTGCCATCTATGAAACATTTTATATAAATGTTCTTTATATACGAGGATAACTGGGTGCTTTTAAATGTGTGTGGATAATGTCTACTGAGATCTGAGAAGCCAGAATAGAGTCTCTAGTCAGTGGTGCGATTCAGCCAGTGTAACAACCGGATCCGTGAGTGTGCATTTCACAGGAATGGGCAGGGGTTCGGAGCCAGCTAGTCATTGGAACAAGGAGTTTGCCCGAACTGGTCCAAACTGGGAGAATCCCATCCCTGTCTCTAGTCAAAGGGGAATCTATGCTGCCTCTCAGTGTGTCCATCTCAAGAGGTTCCTTAGTTTTTCAAGGACTTTTAGGAGGTGAAACCCCAGAAGGTTTGTCTAGACTGAGCAGTGGTGGTCCAAATGTAGTGTAGGTGTCAGGATTCTAGCCGTTACCCCAATTTACTCCATGAGTCTCAAGCCAAACTTACAAAACTTCAAAAGGATTTATTGGGACTTAACATGTCTGGTACTGCCTGGGTGTAGCCAACTCTGAGACACATAATTCATTGTCACCCTTGACCCTGGTTTCCCCTCACCCCCTGGGTGTATCATAATTCATATTCTCCAATGGGACACCTCCATAGCCAGGAGTCATCAATCATGCTCTCCAGTTAGAATTTTGCGCAGCAGAAACTTCGGTCACCTAGTTACTATCTATGAAAAACTATGTATGGAATGCACTTTTGGTTTCCAAGCTGCCACACTGCTCCCCCCTCCCTTTCTGTTGGCAACTGTAAAAAGACCAGAGAAATATTTTATGAGTTGACAGTAGGATTCAGCCACCGCTACATTCAATCTGTGTCTCACGTGGCAGGTCAGGGTCATCTCCGAGGTGACTTTCTGTTGGGTCCACGCAACAGGATCTGCTGCCTCAACCGTCTCTTTGCCTTCTGTCCTAGAATCTCACCGGTTGCACCTGCCTCACCTTGGCCCCAGCCGGGGATGCCACTGTCGTTCCTGGGAAGTGCCCCAGCCCTGGATGCCAAGAAGCCTTCCTGACATTCCTCTGCGTGATGTGCGTCTGCAGCATGATTGGAGCCATGGCCCAAACTCCCTCTGTCATCATCCTCATCAGGTGAGACCTTCCACCAGGAGGGACAAGACAAGGAGCCCTCTGTGTGTTAAGAAGCCCCGAGGAAGCGTTCAAGGGAGTCCTTTGCTTTGTGGGGGTCATCGGATGCAGAGACGTCCCCTTTGTATCTAGCCTTATTTCCAGGGGATCTGGTTTGGGGCCAGAGAAAAGTGAGTTTCCTACTGGGTCCAGCAAAGTCCTACAGACACTGTGATACACCTGAAATTAAGGATGATGTGGAAAATGAAATTGGAATATACCATTCCTCTGCTATGCAGCTTTTGCTGGTGTCTGTTGTAACTTTGAACAATTGCTAAGCAACAGGTCGTAGGTTGAGGACTAGCTGTCATAGATCATGGCAGTAGTGACATCCCTTCTTGCACTGTGGGGAAGGAGGGTGGCTTCCCCTGGAATGTAGCGTGCCAGGAAGTCAAGTTGATTTTGACTTTGGCTTATTGAGATGCACCATCTCTCTGGGCACAGTAAAAATAGCTAGGTAGAGATAAGAGAGAGAGATTAGATATAGATAGATAGATAGATAGATAGATAGATAGATAGATAGATAGATAGATAGATAGATAGATAGATAGATAGATAGATAGATGGATGGATGGATGGATAGGTAGATGGGTGGGTAGGTGGATGGATGGATGGATAGATGGATAGATAGATAGATAGATAGATAGATAGATAGATAGATAGATAGATAGATAGATAGATAGTAGATGGATAGATAGATAGATAGATAGATAGATAGATAGATAGATAGATAGATAGATGATAGGTAGATAGATGGATGGATAGATAGATAGATAGTAGATAGATGGATAGTAGATGGATGGATAGATAGATAGATAGATAGATAGATAGATAGATAGTAAGTAGATAGGTAGATGGGTAGATAGGTAGATAGGTAGATAGATGGATGGATAGATAGATAGTTAGATGGATGGATAGATAGATAGATAGATAGATAGATAGATAGATAGATAGATAGATAGAAAGTTAGAAAGGTAGGTATAGATAGAGATTCACACATGCGCGCGCGCACACACACACACACACACACACAGATCTACAACCTTCCTGTTCCCCCCCACCCAAAATCAGGGTGTTAGCATTCCAGAAAACCTCAGCTCCAATAAATAACTCTGAGACAGACATGTTTTCAAAGTTCCCTTTTATTAGAGTAGTAAACTATCACATCTGGGAAATCCCGACTCTGAAAGTTCTGGGTTTCCCTCCAATAAGTAAAAAATTACAAATCCACCCCAGGCACCCTTCATTCCATCACACACCCTACTCACCGTTCGCCCCAACTTGAGACATTCCCTCAACCCTTCCTCCGCCAGGTGCACAAATAACATGACCTTGACTTAGAAGAAGAATGCTATTATGTCTAACCACATACGCTCCACAAAATTCCCCCCTCCCATCTTCCCAGGCTCAAGAACGTGGCAACGTGGAAGCTTCTGGTGCTAATATGGCCTCCAAAGCTGACGCAGGGTGGATAATAACTCAGGGGACATGTTTGGTCTGAGGGAATATCTTTTGGAGGCCCGGAACTTTATCAGGGGTCCCTGAATTTTAGTATGCCTGTTTTGTATGTGTGTGTGCATGTGCGCACACACAGTTATGGGTTGCTTGAGAAAATTTAAAGGGTCCAGCCAGAGGCTTAAACTCTCAGGCCACCAGACCACTCTCCTCCTGAAAGAAGCTGATATTTCCCCCCCAATGGTGGAGCAAGTCAAGAGGGTCCTGCTTACACCCTTTTCGTCTTCCGCCCCTTTTTTTTATCCACCCTGCCGGTTCGAATCTCCCTTGCAGGCTAATTGTTAACGCCGTTTCCCGTTTAATCCCCAGCCTGGCCCACGGCCCCTTTTTTTTCCTGTCTTTGAATCAGCCTCAGTTGCCTTTGTAATGTGGGGCTTCCAGTCGATGAAACCTACCCGGAGAAGCTAATTAGTGGGTCCCCTGAAGGCGCCGCGTGGCCACTTCACAGCAGAGTTCAGCACTTTGCTTCTGCCTTTAGTCCTCTCAGTTTGCAGCCGCTTCAAAAGTTAAACTGTCCCCTTCCAGAGCAGGGCATCCCTCAACCCTTTGAGGTAGGCAAGGTCGAAAAACAGGTGCAGCAGGGGCGCTGAGAGTGCCGCTTATGGCCGCAAGTTGAAAGAACAAAATCTTGAAAGCCTACTAGAAAGAGAACCTTGAGATTTCGTCTTTCTCAAGACTGAGAAATGTTTGCAGAAAGCCGCCCTTTTGTGGTCGGCTCATCACTTCCCCGTTCCCAAGTTTGGTCCACGTTCCTTCACAACTCCCAAGGACTATAAAATCCCCCTATCCAAGTGCACTCACACACACAATTACACACTCCCTGAACAGAGCATTGGTCCAAAGCCAGCTTCTCTTTCTGCTGCAGAAGATTTCCCCCTGCTTTGGAAGTCGGGAGCTAAACAAATGATAGGAATCGGATTGAAAACTGGCTGGCTAGCTGCTGCCTGTGTGTATGTCTTTGTCTTTGTCTTTGTCTTTGTCTTTGTCTTTGTCTTTGTCTGTCTGTCTGTCTGTCAGTCTGTCTGTCTGTCTGTCTATCTATCTATCTATCTATCTATCTATCTATCTATCTATCTATCTATCTATCTCTATCTATCTATCTATCTATCTATCTATCTATCTATCTATCTATCTATCTATCTATCATCTATTTGTCTGTTTGTCTCTCTAATCTCTCTCTTATCTATCTGTATATCTATCCATCCATTTTCTCTCTCTCTCATCACTCTCTTATCTCTACCTACCTACCTATATATCTATCATCTACCTATATCGTCTGTCTGTCTATCATCTATCTATCTATCTATCTATCTATCTATCTATCTATCTATCTATCTCTATCTATCTATCTATCTATCTATCTATCTATCTATCTATCTATCTATCATCTATTTGTCTGTCTGTTTGTCTCTCTAATCTCTCTCTTATCTATCTGTATATCTATCCATCCATTCTCTCTCTCTCTCTCTCTCTCTCTCTCTCTCTCTCTCTCTCATCACTCTCTTATCTCTACCTACCTATATACCTATCATCTACCTATATCGTCTATCTATCTATCTATCTATCTATCTATCTATCTATCTATCTATCTATCTATCTATCTATCTAACAATCTATCTCTAATCTACACTATCTATCTACAATATCTGCCTGCCTGCCACTCTCTCTCTCTCTCTCTCTCTCTCCTAAGTTAACTATAGTTATCTATCTGCCCCATTCTCTCTGTCTGCCTGCCTGCCTGCCTGCCTGCCTGTCGATCTACCAACCATCTTAATGATATTTGCTTGAATATCTCTTCCATACAGAACTGTGAGCCCGGAGCTCAAATCATACGCTTTAGGAGTTCTCTTCCTTCTCCTCCGATTGTTAGGTGAGTGAAATTCGTGCTTTCTTTTGTTCCCCTCGGCTTCTCCAGAGAAACGGGGATTCCTGATGAAAGATGGACCTGGATGATGAACCCAGATTAGGTCCAGTTGGAGACGTGAGCAGCTTTCCACCTCCGAGTGTCCTCCAAATGTTTTGTATTATATCACAAGTGGGCCATTTTTGCAGTGGTTGGTTCCTCCCCTTGATGCAAGTTCTGTAGAAATCAATCCTGTACGAATAGGATGCCTGACTTCTCTGAACCTCGTCTGAATTTTCTGGATTTGCACAATAGACTGAACTATAAACTAATCAACATATTGTGTTCTCTCAACACATTGCACTACAGAACACTAACCAGACTTAACCACTAGCCAAATTTCACATTGTACACATTCAGATGTAACTATTCATATCTTTCCCTTGTCCGATCTATCGGAGGTTGATTTCAACGGGGGTGTAGTGTCAGTGTTTCCATAACAGCATCACTGCTCTTAGTTTTCAGGGCGACCTCCCTCTTAGCATCACTGTTTGATCCAGCAGATGTTCCTCTTATGCTTGTCGAGGGTCTAGATCAGGAGTGTGAAACTCAAGGCCCAGGGACTGGATCCAGCTCATCGGGTGCTTAGATCTGGCCCATGGGGCTGCCCTGGAAACAGTGAAGGACCAGACCGTGGTGCCTCTGCCAGTGAAAATGGAGCTCAGGAAGGCTGCATGTGGCTCTCTCCAGCTCTCTTTTCATAGGCAGAGGGTTGCAGGAGGCCATCGTAGCCAAAAATTGAGCCCAGGAGCCTGTTTTCACTGGCAGAATGCTCGGGCCACACAACCAACATGAGTGGCATCGAGCCGGCCATGCCCATCCCGGCACCCCAAAGTCAAACACAACCCTGATGCGGCCCTCACTGAAAACGAGTTTGACATCCCTGGTCTAGACGTTTCAGAGAACATTGTCGACATTTAAAAAAAGAAAAAAAATATCTCTCCTTCTCCCTTCACAGGTTTTATCCCACCTCCCCTGATCTTTGGAGCAGGAATTGATTCCACCTGCCTTTTCTGGAGCACTTTCTGTGGTGAACAAGGAGCATGCGCCCTATATGACAACGTCGTCTATAGGTACCTATATGTGAGCATCGCTATTACCCTGAAGTCGCTGGCGTTCCTCCTTTACACCACAACCTGGCAGTGCCTGAGGAAAAACTATAAGAAATACATCAAGAACCACGAAGGCGGACTCAGCACTACTGAGTTCTTTGCATCCACATTGACCCTGGATAACCTAGGACGAGACTCTCTAGGCCAGAATCCCTCTCAAAGGACAAAATTTATCTACAACCTTGAAGACCATGAATGGTGTGAAAACATGGAGTCCGTTTTATAGTGATTAGAAAGGCGGATGGCTAACCCAAAGGTCCTTTTGGAAGGAAGATATATTTTTTGTGTGAAAGGTGTAATATATCCATACGAAGATGTTTCGGGGAAGTCGAAGCAAAACCAAGCCCACAGCTCTTTCAATACCTTATCATTACGTTCCAGGAGCTTCTCCGGAAGAAGAGGACCATTCGTCCTTTGCTCCAAAAGCAGAATGAACCAAGACGAGGGGAGAAAGGGTAAAAGACCAATCTGGAGTGAGAAATGGTGATGCCAAGTGGACCATAAGTGTATCGAATGCCTTGGCTGGAGACACAACAGATGGGCAACGCTGCCAGTGTTTGGGGACCTGGTCTTTCACTGGCAAACAGAGCAGATGTCTGTCCTTTGGTGGGAAGGCAAACCCATGAAAAGACAATTCCCAGTGAGGAGGGGAAAGAGCAGAAGCCACAGCTGTTTCCAAAAATAAGTGCTATGTGAAACTGAAGCAACCAGTATTGGAGTAACCTTTGCAATACAAGCTTAAAAAACGACCACAAGGGTGCTATGCAGACCTTTTCACACTCTCCATCTCTTGCTCTCTCATATCACAGGAAGCCTGGGCCAGAACGTCTTCCCCTTTATTGTCTCCAGCTGCAAGACCATAAGATCAACCTCAACAGCTGTTGAAATGGGCAAACCAATAGACGTGTCCGGTACAAGCCATGATGACGTCAAGTTGACATCACGTGCTGAACAAGAGCTTACATCCCGAATAGATGCTGAATTAAGATTAGATAGGCTGCATCAATTGCACATGTCACCGTTCGGATGCCATTGTGACTTGTACCCAACACACTGGACGCAACTGCAACATTACAGTTCTTAAGACACCAGCATTGCTTTTCTTAAACTATTGGGGGTGGGGTGATCTAGTTCCATTTTGGTATGGGAATCGGGGCATTGTGCGTGTGTTTGTGTGTATGTGTGCAGTTGTGAGGGACAGAGCACAGGATAACTCTGGCCAAAGAGTCAATAACTTTTTCAACTTTGAGCAGGGTTGAAGTGGTACGTAGGTCAGCATGGCCAACGTTGCCACTGAAAATGGGCAGAGCAGGTCTGGTTGAGCCATCACTGCCTTCTAAACATCTGTACATTTTTCTAGTTTTGTGTCGGCACTGGAAAAGGAAAGTTTTTCAGTACTGTTTCCATTTGAATCACAATCTTGCTACCACAGAGAGAAAGAGAAATTACCACTTTATTCCCTGAGCTGCTCAGCTATTCATCCTCCCCAGTTTAAAAAAAAAATGGTTGCAAAACTTTAAACTCCCTCCAATGGAAGCTTCAATATGTTTTTGACCTTAGAAAAAAAATGAATAAGCTGATAAATATATGTGCCTTTTTAAAGAAAAAAAAAATAAAGATGTTTGCTTTGCAAGAGTCAGAGGGAGAGAAAGTAGCCCACCTGTCCTTATCATAGGAAAGAGAGGTAGGGTGTACTTTGTAGCCCTGGAGCAAAATCTCAGAGAAATCCCTTTCCTTAACAGAATAACAGAGTTGGAAGGGACCTTGGAGGTCTTCTAGTCCAACCCCCTGCTCAAGCAGGAGACCCTATTTCTGAGTGACAAAACAGAAAATCTGTTTGAACTGCTTGCTTTTCAAATGCCACTCACTAAAGTCCCTTAAATACACCCGTGCTCTCTTAAAACTTTTAAGTAGCACTTTCCTTTGGCTAAAACGAGAGAGAGAATTCCCTAAGATGGTTAACTGTCCCTTGCTGTCAGTGCGCGCGGGGGGGGGGGGGGGGGGGGGGCGGTATGTGTGTCTCCAGAAGAAGAAAAGGCATTCTGGGAAAAATAACAGCAGCCAGCTGGCTCCCTCGAGATGGGTTGCTCTCCTGTCACATTGTCACAAAGGGAGCCTGCTTTCCAACGAGGAAAAGGCAAACTTTTTATACGTCCTATTTATTGAGGCATGCCTCCCAGATGGGCTGCTCGTCTTAAAAAAAAAAAAAAAAACCACATTGCATGCGAAGGATTGGTGGCGTTTTCTATAGAATGTACTTCTTCGCCCACATATCTGTATTTAACCATGATCATTAGTGGTAGATCCCAATTCTGGACTAACCCTTTCCCTGCTGGGACCCTTCCCCAGATTCTGAATCTTCAAAGAAAAACATGAAAGTCCAGTTGCCTGTTGAAAATAGTACCTTTGGGACCAGATTCTGAATATTTTCTACTTCTTCCCACTTCGATTCGCAGCAAAGGCACATCCACCATAAAGGAGGATTCAGAGATTTATACTTCATTATATAGTATATTTATAATATATTCCGCCGGCAGAGGCATATGTTTCGAAGGATCCAAATTAGCTTTGTGCCCTTTTTTTCTTTCTCTATTGCTCTTGATTTAATCTTTTCCCTTCTTGGACACTGAAATCAATGTATTTTGTTTAAAAAGCGAGGCGCTGAAAAAGAAACACCACGAAGCGAGAGAAGAATTTACAGATGTTTTACCTTTTAAAATTGATTTTTCTCACGCTGAGTTGGGGTTGTGAGACTTTGCTGAACGGGGCAGCAGGAGCTAAATGTATTTCGATTTCAACCGTGATCTTTGAGTGATCTTTGAATTTAAGTGTCCACAGTGACTGTGTTCAGATAGTTCTTCAACCTTGCTCTGACTTGGCTAATGTTGACAGATGACAATGAAGAACTCCAGATGTCTCCATCTGTGGTTTGTTTACCATTAATGCCAAACCAGTATTCTTGGCTTGTTTCTCTTGTGACAAGCCAGTCCCAGCTGAAGAAAAAAACATGATACAGTCTGCCAAACCCAACCCAACACCCAGCCTCATTTTCAAGGTTTGGGAGCAACGTCGGAAACCAATTCTGATTTTACCCATGGTGCTGGAAACAGTGAGCTGAATTCCCAGGAACTAAGCGTAGGATCTCAAGAATAGCTCTGTACTTCCAAAGAGGTTGCTAGATGTTATTTCTTATGTTATTTCACATAAACTCCCTTTCTTTGTGCTGTCCCATAAAGTTGAACCTACAGTTCTAAGAGAAGACGTCCAAACTCCATTGTGCATATCTGTTTGGATCCATAGGGACATCGAGCCAAAATTTAAATTCTATAAGGCATGTGTTCTTCTTACTCTAAGCCAGAAAAGCATCTGTTTTGCAATGCTCAGCTCTTTAAAAAAAATAGGCATTTTAAAATTAGAAATGTGAAGTAGTACTGTTTGATCTATTGGATGAGACTCCAAGGTTAGATTTGCAGACGTGATTGAACACAAACTTTTATGCAGCTCTTGGAATTATATAGAGTTCTATTTTATTCTACAGGATATACTTATATGTAGAATTATATCCTGTGGTATAAGATATAATGTGTGAACTAAGCCAAAGAATTGCAACTTGCCAAACATTCCGAGTTCCCATCCCCTGCTGGCAGTGGAAATTTCTGAAATATTTTAGGGGTAGCAAGTTGAGTGATATTTTTTTCCCTTGGAGCAAAGAAAACTCTTTTCATTCCATGGGATCCTTGGTGCTCTCTGAGCTTGGATGTTTTCTTGCAGACATTTCATTACCCAACTAGGTACCATCATCAGTGCTAGAAGGGAATAGGGTTTGTGGGGGAAGGAGGAGGAGGAAAACTGTGGACTCCTTGGTGCTCAAGGAAAACACTTGTTTTTCCTTGAAGACATTTCTCATCTCTGAACTGAACTGAAGTTCTGAACTAACGAAGCTTCTTGGATGAGAAACATCTTCAAGGAAAAACAAAAGTCCAGATGCCTTTTGAGAAAGCATCTTTGGGATTAACTATGGTCTGGATGACTGAGAATCTCCATAGATCTCATGTGTCTATACAGAGCTGATGATGATCAACGCAGGGACAATTGACATTTTTGAACGAGGAACCATTTCAGCTGGTCATTTTCACGGCATGGTGTGTGGACGCAGGTATATCTCAGGTGAGAAAGGAACTACAAAATCTTTTCACTGCAATTTTTGTTCGAATGAATCCAGCTATTGACTTAAGTCTTGGCTTAACACTAACAAGAGCCACGGTGGCACAGTGGTTAGAGTGCAGTACTTCAGGCTACTTCTGCTGCCTGCCGGCTGCCTGCAATTTGGCAGTTCGAATCTCACCAGGCTCAAGGTTGTTGCCTTCTGAGATTGGTAAAATGAGGACCCAGATTGTTGGGGGGAATATGCTGACTCTGTAAACCACTTAGAGAGGCCTGCAAAGCACTGTAAAAACAGTAGATAAGTCTAAGTGCTATTGCTATTCTTCAAAAATATGCTTTTCTTGTTGGCATTCCCATCTCTGTGTGTGTGGTTATGGATGCTTGAGAATACGGAGGGTCCTGGGGAGGTGAGTCAAACCATCAAACTGATCAAGATGGCAGCACAATGGCAGACCTGCCCTTTTCTGCATGCCCACAAAAAGGCAGGGGCTTCCATCACACGCGCACGGTTGCCATATTCGTTGCTTTCACTAATCCCTGTGAATACACTTATAGACCTAGGAAACACCTGTAGATCTAGATCTTTTTGTACCAAAGATGGGGATGCATCAAACTAGAATCTAGGTATCCATAGCACACAAGGGACTAGAGGAAGAATTGGGTTGGTTCTTTTCAAACCCTCTTTTCCAAAAAACATTCTTTTCTTCTTCCTCGGAGTTCCAGAACTCATCAATTGTGTTGTTCTGCTTTCTTACATATTTGTCATATTTTCCTCATACTTTTGCAGTTATCCCTTCAACAGCTGATAGAGTGATACCATTGGAAGAAGGTTAAGCCATTAGTCTCACCCTCTACTCGGTGCAGGAATCGGGGGTGTCCATGGGGTATGGTCAGATAGTTAACAGATAACAGATAACCAGAGTTGGAAGGGACCTTGTAGGTCATCTAGTCCAACCCACTGCCCAAGCAGGAGACCCTACACCATTTCTGACAAATGGCAGTCCAATCTCTTCTTGAAAGTCTCAAGTGATGATGCTCCCACAACTTCCAAAGGCAACTTCTGTTCCATGGGTTGATTGTTCTCACTGTCAGAAAGTTAAGATAGCAGGCACCCTGATGTGATTGAATTTTTGTAATGTGTATCCCAAATTGCAATCCCAGTGAATAGAATAGAATAACAGAGGGACCTTGGAAGATTTCCAGACCAACCCCCTGCCTAGGCAGGAAACCCTATGCCACTTCAGACAAATGGTTATCCAACATCTTTTTAAAAACTGTCAGTGTTGGAGCATTTACAACTTCTGGAGGCAAGTTGTTCCACTGATTAATTGGTATAACTGTTAGGAAATTTCTCCTTAGCTTAAGTTGCTTCTCTCTTTAATTAGTTTCCATCAGTTGCTTCTTCTCCTGCCCTCAGGTGCTTTGATAAATAGGTTGGCCTTCCTTCTTTGTAGCAACCCCTGAGATATTGGAACACTGCTATCATGTCACCCTTAGTTCTTCTTTTCATTAGACTAGCCATGCCCCATTCCTGCAACTGTTCTTCATATGTTTTAGTCTCCAGTCCCCTAATAATCTTTGTTGCTCTTCTCTGCACTCTTTCTAGAGTCTCAACATCTTTTTTGTATCGTGGCGACCAAAACTGAACGCAGTAATCCAATTGTGGCCTTACCAAGGCATTATACAGTGGTGTTAACACTTCACATGATCTTGATTCTATCCCTCTGTTTATTGCAGCCTAGGACTGTGTTGGCTTTTTTGGCAGCTGCTCCACATTGCTGGCTCATATTTAAATAGTTGTCCACCAGGACCACCACTTCTGGGGCTCATGACTTCCTCAAGAGGTGCTCTCAGAAATATAGAACCTAGAATAATAGGATTGGAAGGGACCTTGGAGGTCTTCTAGCCCAACTCCCTGCTCAGGCAGGAGACCCTATATCATTCCAGATAAATGGCCGCCAGTGACGGAGCACTCAGAACTCCTGGAGGTAAGCCGTTCCATTGATTAATTGTTCTCATTGTTAGGACATTTCTCCTTAACTCTTACGTTGCATCTTTCTCTAATGCTTTTCCACCTTTACTTCTTGCCCTGCTCTCTGGTGCATTGGAGAATAGTTTGACCCCCTTCTTTTCTGGGGCAGCCCCTCAAGTCCTGGAAGACTGCTATCACATCACTCCTAAACCTTCTCTTTGCTAGACATACCTAGTTCCCTCAATCATTCATTGTATGGCTTAGCTTCTGGAATCCTTATCATCTTTGTTGTTCTTTTCTGCATTCTAACACGGAACCAGAATCTGTCTGCTGGTCGTTTCAATCATTGTTTTGTTTTGTGTGCCTG